GGGTCCCGGTGCTTCCCTCTGCAGCAGCAGCACCCCCCAGGACTGCACAGGCAGGGTACCAGCACATGGGTGCTGCCTGGGCAGGGGGGCACCTCCACCAAAGGCAAGCACCAGGAGTCCCCTGCAGGTCAAGGGCTACATGACCTGCCAGCAGCTCACTCCCTGGCTGCAGGAGATGCAGGCAGGTTCCAGGAGAGAGAGATCACCCCTTCCCAGAGGAGCCTGCCTATGCAAGCTGCCACCAGCTTGCGCAGCCCCTGAGCTGCAGGGGAGCCCAGAGCTTCCTGTGTGGTAGTGATACCTCACTGGGACTGCCTGGGCAGGGTGCTAGCTGCACAGGTGCAGCCGCAGCTCACAGGTAGCACCTGCCAGATCCAAGGGTGCATGGGACACTGGAAGTCCAGGCGTGCTTGGGGAAGCTCAGGTATGGCAGGCTCCCAGCACCCTGTGCACTGTCCCTGCTGCCTTGGACCACCTGGGAACAGGCTGGCTGCCTTAGGAAGGCAGCAGTAGGGCAGCTGGGTGTTCTGGTAGCTGGAGAAGGCAGTGGGGACAGCACATGGGTCACTGGAAGCCCACCAAGCCTGAGCTTTCCCAGGCAAGCCTGGGCTTCCAGATCCTCATGCACCGTCCCTGCTGCCTTCTCCAGAAAGGGCCCTCATCGCTGTAATTTGTTAGTTACACAGCCAACTAAAATACATGGGATGCGTTTTAGTTTGCTATGTAAAGTCATTTAAAATTGAAATACAATTTAAATTTCATAACAGTGTATGTTTGGAGGCATAACATGCTGCCAAATGTGTACCGTTACAAGATTAAATAGTTAAGAAGTGCAGTTTGCCCCTTTTAGTGATTTATTTCCTCACATGTACAAGGGCCCTCTTATTACATGACTATAAACAAGTCACAAGGTCAATCTTTTGATGAAATATGTATTTATATTCCTAAGCCTGTGTTTACACATGGACAGCTTTATGTAGCCTTTAAGGGCAAGAAGTTTCAATCCCATTAAAGTATCTGGTCAAAGGATAACTAAAAATCCTTTATTTAAAGAAATACTTTTGCAATAAAAAATTATTTGCAGATGTTTTGCAGGTTTCAAATAGAATAAACATACTGGAGTTGAGTGAAATACGTCTAGCTTTCAAGACTTTCTTCCTACAGCCAAAACCAAGTAGCATGCGTCAGCCAAGGCATCATGCTAGTAATGTATTAGGAATAAAAGGAATTGGCTCATCTCTGCTGTAACAAGGATCCTTCACTCCAGAAACATCTGTGATCTAAACCAGTGATTCTCAACCAGGGTTACATGGCACCGTGGGGTGCCTTGAGATCTTTTCAAGTGTACTATGGGGTACCACACAAAGTCAGTACTCTCAGGTATGCAACTATGAGTCACAAAATAAAAGAGATTTTAAATAGGAATCCATAGGGTCAAAAACATCCTGGCCTGTTGTGGTCTTCCTGAGTTCTTTGCAAGAGAAGAATTGCTTGAGTATTTTTTGTAGTTGAAAGTGACAACTAAGAGCCACCGTTTTCCAAGGGTTGCCCCAAGTCTACTATTAGATTACCGCCTACAAAAATTTCAGCGAAACCTTTGGCCCATCCCTGACATGTCAGAGACTTCACCTCCAATTTAACATAATTAAAATAGAATTTTGATTTTCTTGACTTTGCCATTCCCCCTCCCCCAAAACTCTTATTACCTCTACTCTCTGTCCCTAGGGCCATCACTGTCCTTTCACTCAACTTGAAGCTGTTTCTAGATCCTCACATCCAGGTTGCATTTAAACCATACCTCTGCAGTGTCATTTGTGTCTGTGCACACCGCACACAGCTAGGACATGTCCAAGTTGTCTTATTCTCACCTTCCACAAACTGCAACATTGCTTTTCCTGGCCTGGCCTATTGCAGTCATGTCCTGTTCACATCTAGACAATGTTGCTGCTGCCAAGACCACTTTCCTAGCTAACTTAGCCCAAGGAATCCTTTTGATAGCTCCATATTCTCCAGCAGAAGAACTTAAGCTGTGGATTTTACAAGGAGTTTGTATGGCATTTCAGGGGGAGGATCTTTCAGAATTGGTGACAAATTACTATGTACAGCATTTCAGTTGGTTCTATACATTCTGGTAGCCTTCTCTTCCTAAAGGACAGCTTGCTTTCTGAGCTGCAGCAGCAGCTTTTTGATACATTTTCAGCTGTTCTTTAAAAACCCATGTCACAAAATATATGTGAAGGGGTAACATTGAAATTGCTTTGAGGTTGTTAGTAAACAGGTCCTATACTGCAGCTGGTTGATCATATCTTAAAAAAAAATCAAAATGGAAAGCTCCCTTGTTTGGGATTTTTTAAGTTTACCTCTTATGGGATTGGTTTTAAGGCTTTCCCTTTTTCAATGCTCTTGTTTCTAGAAGGATCTGGGCCCTCTAACAAGTTACTTCCATCCACTGCTTGCTTAGCTGAATATTCAGAGCTCTGAGGACAAGGCGTATCAGGTGTTTCTGCTATTACAGATGAAGGAACCCCTTAGAATCTCACCCCGTGAATGAATGTTCAGTGGCCATTTCCCACTGAAAATTAATACAAATTCATCACCATGCTTGGGTGCCATTGCTGGGGGGTGATTGCCACAGTCCTGCGTGTGATCAAGTCATGTTCTGCTGAAATACTGAGAGCACGCCTCGTTCAGCTGCCTGTGTAGCAAGAGAAGTTAATCAACAAAATTCAAGATTCTGGGCAGGAATAAATCTCAACCAAGTCCATTCACTAAGAGGGTTTCTAGCCAGGACAGCAGAGATGCTCACAAGCACACAGAGAGACAATGGACAGCAAGGTAAGATTTCCAATTTAACAATGCAGATCAGAGGAAGCTTGTGAGACGCATGCTGGCAAGTGCTAGCTAGCACAAGGAAATTAATCCATGAAGGTATCTATTTAGAGACCATAAGAAATCATGGAACAGGTTTTTATAGTAGACAACTAGCATCTCAGCAAGATGCTGGGCAGCAACTGAACTAAGCTGGAACATTTTAAGTAGACACCAAAAGAGAAACTAGTTTAAGCCAATTTAGGCTTCCTCCCATTATGAACAGAGAGCACTGAATGCCAGTTACTTCAGAAGAGATCTTAAGAGACTGCTCACTGCACTAAAAGTAAGTACTACAGCACCATAGGCACAACAGCTATACAAGAGCTCTCACAGGTTTGTGTTGGTGCAGCTCCTGGCACACTACAGGCACATCATTCATAGATCTAGCACAGGGGTGGGCAATTATTTCAGCTGGAGGGCTGCTTCATAGACAGAGCTGGAAGGGACCACGCAAGATCATCAGGTCCAGCCCCCCACCCAAGGGGCAGCAAGTCAGGGTTAGAGGATCCCAGCAAGATAAGCATCCAAATTTTTCTTGAAAGAGTCCAGAGTAGGAACTTGCACCACCTCCTGGAGGGAGTCTGTCCCAGGCCTTGGGGATTTGGACAGTAAAGAAGTTTTTCCTTATGTCCAGCCTAAAACAGTCTTGGAGGAGTTTGTGACCATTGGACCTCGTCATCCCCTGGGGTGCTCTGGTGAACAGGCTTAATGAGATTTGGTGAGCTGTTGAGGGCCACAAGGGTAGCCCTGGCAATTGGTGCCCTTCCTGCTGGCCACCATCTTGGGAGCAGAAGTCCCATCCCCCCTAACCTGTGCCACTAGAAGTCCCTCCTCTTGCTCCCAGTAGTACTCCTTTTGGGGAGGGGAACTACCATCTTGGAACCAGACCCCCCCCCCAAAAAAGCCCCCAAATCATACACAAAGTCAAACATCTACTATAACAATTTTATTACAAAATATATTTTCATCATGATTAGTGTTTGAGTAGTGTATACAGAAGTGATTGCATAGCAACTCAAAAATAAAGTGTTACTCTTGTATATTGTGTGGGGTGTGATTGGGGTGGGTGTGCAGGAGGCATGGGGTATGTTTGGTGTGTATGTATATATGGGTGTGGTGTAAGGGAGAGCAGGGGGTGGGGACCCCCACCCACACACTCCACCCCCTCCATGGCACACAGCCCCTGCTGCAGGCAGCAGCGGGCCCTCGGGGCACTCATGGCCTACACAGGTGCTGCCACCCAGCTCCAGCCAAAGCTGCACATGGCAAAAAGAGCAGCGCCAGGCTAGCCCACCTCTATTGCACAGGGCTCCCCAAGTGCACATGCAGCTCCTGGCACTTGTGCACAACCAGGGGGAAGCCCTGTGTAAAGGAGCTAGTTGCCTGCCCTGCCCAACCCCTGGTTCCCGGTGGAGCCCCGGGACCAGCACATGGTGGCTGGGAGGGCAGCCGGCTCCACTGTGGCCCCCCTGTGGTGTGCGAGCACCAGGAGCTACACATGCCATGGGGAGCCCCAAGCAATAGAGGTAGGCTAGCCTGGCTGCACTCCTTGCCACCACATGCAGCTCTGGCTGAAGCCACGTGCCATTTGGCTGCAGCATCTGTGCAGGCCATGAGTACCAGAGGGTCCACTGTTTACAGGAAGGGGTATGTGCAGGTAAGGTCCTCACACCCCCCTGTCCACCCAAGCTCTGCACTCCTGCTGCCCCACCCTGGGTGTGGGCTGTGTTCCTGCAGGCCCCAGCCCCACATTCCCTGCCCAGCTGCACCCTCCCCCATTTCCCTACCTGCTGCCCGGAGTGAGTGCTGCAGCAGGGAGATGGTGTCGCTGGAGGCCAGGGAAGCTGAGCGAGTTCCCCAGCAGCTACAGCAGTGGCAGCAGCAGCCCTGCCCAGAAGCTGTGCATTGCCTGGGCTGGGCCCTTCTGCCCACAAGGGTGGGAGCAAGGCATGTGGGCTGGGCAGGGCATAACTGGTGGGCACCTGTGGGCCAGATGAAGTTGCCTGGGAGGCTGGATCTGGTCCCTGGGCTGTGTTTTTCCCCACCCCAATCTAGCATTTTATTAGGTAAAACAAAGCAATATGCACATTTTAAGCACCAAAAGAAAAAAGAAGCACCTCAGACCTTCATACCGTAACAAAATTTCTGTGGAAGCTGCATTTTATTTGAAAATCCACCCATTTTTGCTAACATACATTTTAATATTTTAAACAAAAATAGAATCTGCAGAGACAATGCAGCAAGTATGCTTAATTCATGTACAGAATTGCTTTCATATTGTTGACTCTCCTTCTAAAGGCCCCTAACTCCACCCAAAAGCGATGGCGTATTTACAACAAAGCACCGATCAACAGTGCTACTTTAATTCTTTATGAACTAGTTTCTTTGTAGACATTTGTAAGGATGCTACCTTTCATAATTTTTAAAGGTTCATGATCATAAACATGGCACTAGCCAAATGAAATTCAAGGTTCTCCCCCCACATAATACCTCCTAAAGTTTTTACAGAAAAGGAAAGTCCTGAAGTGAAAGCAATTCCTCACATTCATATTGGAAAGGCTTTATAATGTCAGATGTAAAAATAATGACATGCCAAGCACAAAGCAATAAAGTTCCTTTCCCAATGCACTAATGCTGAATTAAAAATGTAGTGCTTCTAGTCAGTTAACTGTTCCCTTGCAAAACCCTAGGCACAGAATTGACTATAAGGATTAATGCATTTTATAACTCTTCCCTAATTCCCATACAGACTGAGAATTCATAAGATTCAGACCTTTAAAATATTTAGTGCTCTGTATGTCAGCTCAAAAGCATTCTGAATCAGAATCATTCTTTGTGGATAAAAATCAGACATCCTGTATACATCCATACTCATTTTCATAAGGAGGTTTTTTGATACAATATTAATGTTAAATTGATAATCATAAATAAATACAAACAATAATACATAAGGAATGTCTACTGCAAACTGAATATATAATTTTTTTTTTTTTTTTTTTTAAAGAAGAATTAAATTTTCATTACTGGGTCTACATGTGTGAAGACTGAAGCGAAGGTAACTGTAGAACTGAGTTAGGATTTGATCCCCCCCACCCCAAAAGTCTGTTTCAGTTACGGTAAAGGACACTCATTCTCCATTCCAGACAGCATTTCCAAATACAAACCATAATATCAGAATAAAGGCTTCTCTTGTAAGGTACTGATTATGGATATTAATAGAAGCTGAAGAGTACTGACGCGTTAGTCACCAGGGGAAAAAACAAACAAATCTTAAGTCTTAAATCATGGCAATTCTTGGCTTTATACTGTGTATTGATGCTTTCCTACAGAGATGTCCCGGTTTCCTCTATTGACCTTCATCATTTTACTGCATCACTTGATGGAAAAAGGAGAGTTGGAAATTGGAAAGACTGAAGTTTGGATTTTGCTGGAAGTTGGGTTTGCTGTTGAGCACATTTTTTGGAACTGTTCCTTTCTCTTCCATCTGCCACAGTTACATGAACTGTATCTGGAAAAACAGAAATGTTCAGTTAAGTTTCCAGTATTCAACATCAACTTGGAAACTGTGGTTGCTTTGATCCCTTAGCACTTAGTGGACAGGGAGCGTTCTCCATACCCATGGGCTAGCATAAATAAGAATGACGAGGTTTGTGATCAGAACCCATTTATTTACAATACTAGGGTCAAACGCACCCAAAGCCATCAACACCTTACCGCCAACTACACAAACTTCTGAAGCATTGCCAAGTTGCCCCGTGTGTTCAGTGACAAACAAAATTAAGCTATTTCTCCATCACCAAAACAGAAGTTTCTGCATGTTGTAAAAAAGCCAAATCCTCCACTAGAGCTTCAAGGGACATAGCTCAGGGCCCCACTTCTCTTTACTCAAAAATGGCAAATGAGCACAAGGGCTACATTTTATACACGCTACGATCAAGGCTTGGCAGCAATGCTTCTAGAGCAGCGTACATTCCCATGCCCGCTTTAATGAGAAGTTTTACTATTTAACCAGGTAAATGCTGCTGCTCTCAAAGTCCAGTAATCGCCCCAAAACAGCTCAATCAGCATCTGAAGCACATGTTTTCTGTGCCTCGGCACGGCAAAATTCTCCTTGCCCACAGAAAGTCACTTCTCTGTTCTCTCGCCCTGGTTAAGTGGGCACGTAGATTTTTCTGCCAGAAACGGTTCTTTCCATAACAATTTTAGAAGGATGCGGCAAAGCACAGATCTATTTAAATTTCTTTACTGAAAAGACAACTGACTGTCCAGTTCTATCAGCTCCAAGAAAACAATCCAGCCTGATAGTCAGTCAGGCACTGGTATGTACATGGGCTGCCAACACTATGGAAATGAAGTAGTTCAGAAAACCAGGATGCATTTCCAATGGACAGAAGCAGAATTAGTGTTTGTGCATTTGATTAGACCTCACAGTGGCAGTGCTTAGAATAACCAGCATTTGAGATTGTTTTATTAGTTACATTTTCAACAGCAAGCACCACATTACTCAAGACTTCTGGTTGTTTTTACTCTTGCCACTAAAACCTGGGCCTGCCATTTATAATGAAAGGACTGGCTCTACAAGCGTTAGGAAGAGCAGGAGCTCTGCCAGGTCAGAGCGCTTTGTCAGGCATCAGAACATGACATGTTTCTTCACCAATTCCTCCCAGCTTTGCCCAAGGCTCCTCCTCTGAACAAGCAGTGCAACCACAGCACTTGCTGATCCTTCCACAGTGCTCCCAGCTTTCCCTTTACAGCTTGTTTCACTACATTGATGAATGACTAAAACTACTACCATGTGAAAGTAGGACCAGATCTTAGTCTTGCACTTTACCAAAAACACCATCTCCCCAGAATAGTGAACAATACCTAAGTTGTTCTACAAGAAATCCTGGAGAGAGAGCTCTGCAAAGGGGTCCTTTCCTGAGGCTCTGTGAGGACTCTGACTGGAAGGACTGGATGCTGCAGATAGCTAGTTGAGAAGACAAACAGAGAAGAAAAGAAAAAGAAAAAAGGTCTCAGAATGACAGAACATGAAAGCAGAAAATGTAATGGAGGGGGGAGTGGTTAAAGAGCAGAAATGGATTGTTAAAACAAGGTGTTTAATTGCATGGGAAGCTGGAGGCCTGTTCAATGGTCTGTGTAATGTAGAAACAAGCTGGATGCTACCCGGCTATGCTACTCCTGGCTGCTGTCTGTCAGCCCATTCATAACTGTATTTGCAGAGAGCTTTCAAGAATAAAGGAGCAATACAAGGGAAGGCATTAATCCTCACAATGAGGCAGACTCATTCTCCCTGTACAAGATATAGGCAGAGATTAAATGCCTTGGTCCTAGTCACAATCTGAGTGCCAGCAGGGATTCAAGAACAAGCCTGTGCTGCCCTTGGGACTTGCCTTTACTTTGGACAGGGATGTGCATCACTTAGAACTGTGAACAAAATGCTCGCAGCCTGGCTTTGGTTAAGTGTGGACAGACTTCAGTGTCTTAATAAAATTTAAAGGCTTTTGCAAGACAAGTTTGAAGCACATGCTTGTCACCAAGAGGCCTGCTTGTTAAAGCAGGAGTGCCAGAACAGCTTTCACTGGAAGGCACCATGGTCCTACACACTCCAATAGCAGCAGAAGCAAAAAAATGTTTCTTCTGACTTCTAGATACGTTTGTCAAGGCATTAAAAATGCTTATCAATTAATTTCAGCTATATCTGATGTCTGTTAAAACACTGTTCTGTTTGCCAGTGTTGCATGAGCTACATATCACCTCTCTCACACTTCTGCTATGAACAATGACAGGCCTTCAGAGCTTGTTCCCTGGCTTTGGTTCAGATGGTTACTAGTCAGCCCTTGAACTGTCACCAGAACAGCACATGCTTTATTCTTAAAAACTTCCTACCCACAGCAAGAGTTGCAGTACACCAGGCCATTAGTGCCAGCACAACCCTTGTGAATCTGCCAGCTGGCAGAGGGCAGAAGTGTGCTCCCAGGGATCCAAGAGTTCCTACTCCTTAGGTGTGTTACAGACTTGATTTCCAGGTTTTCAAACCTTGTGCCCAGCACTAGATTATGCTTATGCCATCAGTCTACTGAAGTCTCAGACACTGCCCCCCCAGGAGGCATCCATACTGCTTTCACTTTGGAAAGGAAGGAAACCCTAGAACCTGGTTGCGAGTGATAAATTAGTTTTGCCAATATGGTGCCCATAAATTGAGACTGCGGAAGCAGCATATTTGCAAGGTGAGAAGCTTGCAAGTAACTGAGCTGCAGTGTCGCGGCATTAAGACTATTCCCTCTCTACATTCTTCCCTTTAAGAAAGCAAAGTCTAAATACTTCAACAGGCCCCCTCAATATTTAAGGCAGACAAACAGAAAACACTGCTGGCAGCCTATAAAAAGAAAGTCACTTTGGCAAGGCATGCCTGCTGTGACCCAACTCCATGACTCAGCTGCTCCCTTCACAGTAAAACATGAAAAGGCGTCACAAAGTCCAAAGGAATATCCCATTTTGAAGTCTGGGAGTAATACTAGCAGGTTTAAATCTCTGGATAGGCATCTGAAATAGGGAATAACTAGAAGTACAGAGGTCAAGACTCAAAGAAGGAAAGAAAAATCTTAACAATGACTGATTTCCAATCCAGACTAGGTGGAAAACAGTTTAAGAGACTGACAAGGTTCCTCTGTCCAGAGGACAGCTAGTTAACACAAAAGTGACACTGGTACGTTTAGAACAGGTTTCTACGCTGTTTCTAACAAGCAGCTAGAGCATTTAAAATAAAATGGTGCTTGATACCTTAACATCAGTTTAGTAGGGAGAAACCCATTTAAGGTGGCAGGTCTGGCTGACAAGGGTTTCCCTCCTAGCATGATGGAGTTACAACTCTGGGACAATCTCCTCAAGTCTACTGCTTTAACCATCTAAAAACACAGGAAGGTGTCACAGCAGATCAGCTAGCAATCCAAGCAGTCCACTGTCCTGTCTCCACTGTGGTCAGGACCAAGGGCTTTAAGCAAAAAGGCAAGAAACTCCAAAAAGGTAGCACACTTACATGGAGTAACCTGTCCACAAGGAAAGCAGACCTGATCTCCTGACATTCCTGTCCTCTGCCATTTGCTACAGGTTGGTTTTTCCTGAACATTTTTTTTAAGCCATACCTACTATTAGCACATTAACAAGAATGGCCACCATGTTAAAGTCCAGGACTTCTCTGAAGCATGAGAAAGTCCTGGCAGCAGTCTCTCATGGCCACAAGTAATACCAGTCAACTGTACAATGTACAACATCAATTTGACTTTTAGAGTTTTAAACATGTCCCCTGTTTTATTAAACATTCTTATGACATCTTCTCTATAACATACATTTAGTTTACAGTTCTACACCTTCATTTCCTCCTCAGTCTTTTCATTAACACAGTAATTAAGAGACAGAAGAGTTTGTAGCACTTCGACTCTCTCCTTTCTGCTACATCTACTTTGGGAAGGATGACCAGGACTCAACTTACCAAAAGCATACCAAGCTGCATAATAACCACTTGATACAGGTTTTCTACCCCAATACTTAATGCATCTTTCAACTTTAATTACTGCTTCACATTAAGGTGACCCTAACAATGCCACGTTTTTTTATCCTTATAGCTAAATGGTTACACATAGCTAATGTAGAGTCCAGTTATTTGCTCAAATTACTCTGCATCTGTGAACATGGATTTTTACCAACCATTATGCTGTCCATTCACTTAGCTTTGACAGCCCCATTTGACAAATCAGCTTTCTTCCAGTGACTAACCTAAATAACTTTTTTAAAATAAAGCATGAAAGCAAAACATCAGGGGTGTCAAACTCCCGAAACAGATCCAGAACATCCGACCCCTTGCTTTACATTATGAAATATTACACAAGCCACAACTCAATTTGAGGCAACCTGCTGCTGCTGACCACATCATCTATGAACGCCCTTACAACCCTCCTTCGGGCACCCACTGCCAGCAACAATGACCATCCTACCAGTCGCTGGTTTTCTGGCCCTTGTGCTTCCGACACGTGGCAACACTCGCTTAATCGGCAGCCTGCTGATGATCTTCAGCCACAACAAAACTATTTCCATCTATTTCCAACTATTGCCATCATGACAGCAAAGCACCAACATCATGTTAGTTAACTCAGAAGTGTTTAAATAATACTGCAATTACTAAGGCCTCTGATAATTACTGAAGATTAACTTGAGAACAGCCTTTCTACAACTGGCTGTTTCTAGAATCATTGCATAAAGCTAATTTTTCAACATTTTTGAAGTGTCAGCTCCTTGTTCAAATGAAAGAGAACAATCTATTACGTAATAAAATAGCTCAGTGAAGGATAAACTGGTAACACTTGTGAATTTGACCGAATATCTGATGTTCAGACAGCGGATTTTTTTTTTTTAAAGCCAAACTTCAATACCTTGCAACCCATAACAGAGATTCAAGAATGGAAGTCCTTTCTAACATGCGTTTCACTCAGTGAGGTTTATTTAGCAAGTACAAAACCAAAGAAGATGTTAAAACAGCCCAAGTCAGTCACTTTATTACTCAATTACTTGGCTTTACTTGCTAGGAAGAGGCAGGATCCATCTGACAGATGGAAAAGCATCTTTGCAAGCAGGCTCGCTAACTTACTGAGGAGGGCTTTAAACAAGGTTTGCCAGCAGACAGAGAACAAAGCCCCGAGGTAAATGGGGAAGCAGGAAGCACAAGAACAGGGGAGGCCTTCTCATTCTTATTAAGAAAGTATGGCAAATCAGCTACTTCTCAGGTGTCTGTCCACAAAAACATAGAACCTGCGACACAAGCAGGAAGAATTTGCAAGTGCTTGCACAGTCGCAGAACTATGATGTGATTAAACTAACAGAGGGATAGCTTGCTGGACTGGAGCACTGTCATGGGTGGGTACGAACTGTTCAGGATAGATAGGCAGGGGGAAAGGAGGAGGAGTTGCACTGTATGTAAACGAGCTGTATGATTGCTCAAAGCTCCAGTATGAAACTGTAGATGGGCCTGTTGAAGGTATCTGGGTTAAAGAAGTTAGAGGAGCAAGCAACAAGAGTGCTGTGGGTGTCTGCTATAGACTACCTGATCAGGAGATCGAGGTAGATGAGGCTCTCTCTAGATGACAAGCACAAGTTTCCAGATTACAAGCCCTGGTTCTCGTGGGGGACTTCAAAAGTCACCCTGACATCTGCTGGGAGGGCAATACAGCAGTGCGCAGGCAATCTAGGAAGTTTCTGGAGAGTGTTGGGGACAACTTCTAGGTGCAAGTGCTAGAGTGGGCAACTAGAGGCTGTGCTCTTCTTGACCTGCCACTCATAACAGGGAAGAATGGGTGGGGGATGTAGAAGTGGATGGCAACTTGGGCAGCAATGACTATGAGATGATCAAGTTTAGGACCCTGACAGAAGGAAGAATAAGGATCTTGGACTTCAGTAGAGCAGACTTGAACTCCCTCAGAGAACCAATGGGCAGGATCCCCTGGGAGGTCAGTCTGAGGGGGAGAGGAGTCCAGGAGAGCTGGCTGCATTTTAAAGAAGCCTGACAGTGCAGGAACAAGCCATCCTGATGTGCAAGAAGAGTGGCAAGTGTGGCAAGCCACCAGCATGGCACAGCAGAGAACTCTTCATTGAGCTTAAACCAGAAGGAAGCTCATAAGAAGTGGAAACTTGGACAGATGACTAGGGAGGAGTATAAGAATAATGCTCAGACATGCAGGGAGGAAAGTCAGGAAGGCCAAAGCACAATTGTAGCTGCAACTCCAAGGGATGTGAAGGGTAACAAGGTTTCTACAAGCATATTAGCAACAAGAGGAAGGTCAGAGAAAGTGTGGGTCCCTTACTGACCAGTGACAGATGATGCAGAAAAGGCCAAAGTGCTCAGTGCCTTTTTTGCCTCAGTCTTCACAGGCAAGTTCAGCTCCCAGACTACTGCACGGGGCAGCAGAGTTTGGGGAG